AGAAAATTATTCACCATGACCAAGTAGGATTTATCCCCGGGACACAAGGCTGGTTCAACACTCGTAAAACAATCAATGTGATTCATCATATCAGCAAGAGAAAAACCAAGAACCATATGATCCTCTCATTAGATGCAGAGAAAGCATTTGACAAAATACAGCATCCATTCCTGATCAAAACTCTTCAGAGTGTAGGGATAGAGGGAACTTTCCTCGATATCTTAAAAGCCATCTACGAAAAGCCCACAGCAAATATCATTCTCAATGGGGAAGCACTGGGAGCCTTTCCCCTAAGATCAGGAACCAGACAGGGATGTCCACTCTCACCACTGCTATTCAACATAGTATTGGAAGTCCTAGCCTCAGCAATCAGACAACAAAAAGACATTAAAGGCATTCAAATTGGCAAAGAAGAAGTCAAACTCTCCCTCTTCGCCGATGACATGATACTCTACATAGAAAACCCAAAAGCCTCCACCCCAAGATTGCTAGAACTCATACAGCAATTTGGTAGCGTGGCAGGATACAGAATCAATGCCCAGAAATCAATGGCATTCCTATACACTAACAATGAGACTGAAGAAAGAGAAATTAAGGAGTCAATCCCATTTACAATTGCACCCAAAAGCATAAGATACCTAGGAAGAAACCTAACCAAAGAGGTAAAGGATCTATACCCTAAAAACTATAGAACACTTCTGAAAGAAATTGAGGAAGACACAAAGAGATGGAAAAATATTCCATGCTCATGGATTGGCAGAATTAATATTGTGAAAATGTCAATGCTACCCAGGGCAATTTACACGTTCAATGCAATCCCTATCAAAATACCATGGACTTTCTTCAGAGACTTAGAACAAATTATTTTAAGATTTGTGTGGAATCAGAAAAGACCCCAAATAGCCAGGGGAATTTTAAAAAAGAAAACCATAGCTGGGGGCATCACAATGCCAGATTTCAGGTTGTACTACAAAGCTGTGTTCATCAAGACAGTGTGGTACTGGCACAAAAACAGACACATAGATCAATGGAACAGAATAGAGAACCCAGAAGTGGACCCTGAACTTTATGGTCAACTAATATTCGACAAAGGAGGAAAGACGATCCACTGGAAGAAAGACAGTCTCTTCAATAAATGGTGCTGGGAAAATTGGTCATCCACATGCAGAAGAATGAAACTAGACCACTCTCTTGCACCATACACAAAGATAAACTCAAAATGGATGAAAGATTTAAATGTGAGACAAGACTCCATCAAAATCCTAGAGGAGAACACAGGCAACACCCTTTTTGAACTTGGCCACAGTAACTTCTTGCAAGATACATCCACGAAAGCAAAAGAAACAAAAGCAAAAATGAACTATTGGGACTTCATCAAGAGAAGAAGCTTTTGCACAGCAAAGGATACAGTCAACAAAACTCAAAGACAACCTACAGAATGGGAGAAGATATTTGCAAATAACATATCAGATAAAGGGCTAGTTTCCAAAATCTATAAAGAACTTATTAAACTCAACACCAAAGAAACAAACAATCCAATCATGAAATGGGCAAAAGACATGAAGAGAAATCTCACAGAGGAAGACATGGACATGGCCAACAGGCACATGAGAAAATGCTCTGCATCACTTGCCATCAGGGAAATACAAATCAAAACCACAATGAGATACCACCTCACACCAGTGAGAATGGGGAAAATTAACAAGGCAGGAAACAACAAATGTTGGAGAGGATGCGGAGAAAAGGGAACCCTCTTACACTGTTGGTGGGAATGTGAACTGGTGCAGCCACTCTGGAAAACTGTGTGGAGGTTCCTCAAAGAATTAAAAATAGACCTGCCCTACGACCCAGCAATTGCACTGTTAGGGATTTACCCCAAAGATTCAGATGCAATGAAATGCCGGGACACCTGCACCGTGATGTTTCTAGCAGCCATGTCCACAACAGCCAAACTGTGGAAGGAGCCTCGGTGCCCATCGAAAGATGAATGGATAAAGAAGATGTGGTTTATGTATACAATGGAATATTCCTCAGCCATTAGAAACGACAAATACCCACCATTTGCTTCAACGTGGATGGAACTGGAGAGTATTATGCTGAGTGAAGTAAGTCAATCGGAGAAGGACAAACAGTGTATGTTCTCATTCATTTGGGGAATATGAATAATAGTGAAGGGGAATATAAGGGAAGGGAGAAGAAATGTGTGGGAGATATCAGAAAGGGAGACAGAACATAAAGACTTCTAACTCTGGGAAATGAACTAGGGGTGGTGGAAGGGGAGGAGGGCGGGGGTGGGGGTGAATGGGTGACGGGCACGGAGGGGGACAATTGATGGGATGAGCACTGGGTGTTATTCTGTATGTCGGTAAATTGAACACCAATAAAAATTAATTTATTAAAAAATAAAAAATAAAAAATAAAAAAATAAAATAATTTCTACTGATCTATCTTCAAAGTTCTTTTATTTTTATCTCCCATCTCAAATGTGCTATTCAGGACATCTAAATAATTTTTCACCTTTACTGTTTCAATTCTAGAATTTTTTTGGTAGTTTCTATTTCTCTATTGAGATTGCCTACTTATTGATACACATCTATATTTTCCTTTCATCCTCTGAACTTATTTATAATAGCTGCTTTGAAGTCTTAGATATCTTCAACATTTGGACCTACGCAGAACCAGTTTCTACTGACTTTTTTTCCTGAGTATAGGTTTCACTGTCCTGTTTTTTACATATCCCATAATTTTGGGTTGAATCTTAAACTTTTTTAGACAATATATTGTAGAAACTCTGGATATGATTTTTCTGAAGTTTTTTGTTTTTTAATTTAGCTTGCTTAAATTGTTAAGATTGGTTTTCTCCATGGTATGAAGCTACTGTTCTCTCTTCCAGTTTTTCTATTATTTTTATACTTTAGCCTGGTTTCCTAATGGTTACCCTGTATCTGCATAGTTTAATAATAATGATTTCAGTAGACACTGTTCAAACACCTTAAACTTATTAGGCAGCTACTGTCTCATCAAATTGTGTATGTGCAGGGCGGGGGGAGTTGTGTACATAGTCCCCTCACCTTATCCATGGTTCTTCCCTGATTTCAGTTACCCATGGCCAATCACAGTCTGGAAGTAGATGATCCTCCTCCTGATGTATCAGGAGGTTAATAGTAGCCTCACACTATGTCCCACTAAGTCACAATGCCTGTATTATTCATCTCACTTCATCTTAGCAAATAAGCATTTTATCATTTAACATTATCACAAGAAAGTACAGTACAATAAGGTATTCTGAGAAAGAGTCCATATAACTTTTATTACAATACACTGTTGTAATTGTTCTATTTAATATTACTGTTGTTAATCTCTTATGCCTAATTTATAAATCAAACTTTATCATAGGTATGTATGTATAAGAAAACAACAGTATATGGGATTCAGTAATATCTGTGGTTCAGGCATCCACTGGGGTTCTTGAAGTATCCCCTATGGATAAAGAGGGACTACAGGATTTAAAGTTGCAGTCAGTTCTCTTTTACAGTTTCACTCTTTACTGAGTTCGGTCTTCCCTGCAGGAGTGAAGGCTCTCATTCAGCCAATGATATATAGAAAATTTTTCTCGGCACTTGGGTGGCTCTTTCATTTTTACAATCTACTTAAGTTACTAGTTGGTACATCACTTGCCCCACCCAGGACTTCAACCTTGGGCCAGCAAAATTATTATTTCTTCCCTTTGTTTCCTACTAGGATTGGCATTTTTAGCTGACAAAGCTTCAAATTCTTATGCTCTATCCCAAGTAAGTCCACTCTTAAGCAGCAAATCTATTTCCAGTGGCATCCTCACTCTAGTAAAAACTATAGTTTTTGCCATTCAAACTACCAGAGAGGAGGGAGAAACAGGAAAGCCTTGGGTGAAGGCATCACAAACTCCTTCTGTTCTTATCCAAAGCTCAAGCACTTTTTCAACAATATACACTTCTCAATGTTTTCTGTCTTCAATTTCCAGAGTGGTAGGTGTTTTTTTTTTTTTTTTGACAATTCTGTCCAGTTTTTATACTTGCTTTTCTAAAGATGATCTACAACTTCTTCATGCCACCAAAGAGCCAGAAATTGCCTACATAAGTTTTTATACTTAAATATGTGTGTACATACCCATAAACCTGTGGTTAATATAATTGTTTCAATTATATTATATATAACAGATTATACAGTCTAAGCATTAACATATTGTTGAAATTAAGAGAGTTTCATATGATACTATATTATTAACTGAAAATGAATTTAAGTTATCAGAAACAATGTTATCACGATAACATGGTTCATGTCAGACTATGGCAAATGAAAAAGATTAAAAAACACATTTAGTATATTTATATTTTAAGATATACAAAAATACACACATATATGCATGCCACACATAAACAGAAACTGAAATAACATGCTTAGAAGATTAAGAGTGTCATAATTTGAATAGAAGGATTACTAGTAGTATTTTTCCTATTTAAAAAGATTGCCAAATTCTCTAAACATACATTATGTATATAATACTAAAAAAAATATTTTTAAAGAGAGAAAAAGGCTATGTACACCATCTACTTAATCAGGCTCAACTCCTGCTGATATTATAGCAGTTCCACAACTTTAATGGGATAATTAATTTATATGAATATCTTAATGTATTATTTTAGAATACTGAACTTCTAAAGTTAGCAGAGTTAATATATACAAGAGAAATTTTATTACCGTTTTTTCCCTCTGGGTATGAAAACAGGTTTTGATCAGTATCATCAAAATAAGTATATACCATACTAAGGTGGCTACTTTAAGTGGCAACACTCATTTACATACGTAATCTCAAATAAAAAATAATTCTATCAGAACATGGCAATACCATGTACTCAGGAACTATTTCAACCAACTTCTCCTATGTCTCATTATCATAAAATTACATTTTTGTTTTCTTAAATTTTATTTCTACAATCAATTTCATTCCTTTAAGGACTTACCTTTGCTGCATGGTATGTACTAGCCTCAAGTAAATCTTCTTTTTTAGCTTCTTTGGCAAGCAGGTTAAATCGACTTAACATTGCAGCTTTACAAAGCCGACTTGCCATTGACACACCACTTTTAAATGGGGAACTAAAGTAGAAAGAATGAAACATTCACAATCATTATTCAAGGATGTTGACAACTGTAAAGATGAAAATCAACACAAAATCTACAAATATTTTTTCCAATTATGTGCAATGAAAATAGTGAAAGATTTTTACATAAAATCATTCTGAATATTTACTTTCTGAAGCTAATTTTATTACAGTTTAAATTATAGTATTGCATTAAAAATTAAAGCAGATACTGGAACATTTTACTGTTTGAAGCAAAATTAATCTATATTGATCCAAATTAAAAGCTGTACTAGAACTGACTGGAAAAAGGGACAGATATATTTTCTGGAATACTGAAAATGTCCTGCATTTTAATGGAGTAATAGTAATACAGGTGTATATATATCAAAAGTCATGAAGCTATATAGCCCATTTTACTACATGTAAATTTTAACTCACTAAAAGAGTAAATATATACACCCCTCATGACCTTCTGTATATGTCCTTGCAGATATTTTTTGTTTCTAATTAAAAGTGGGTCCATAAACCACGAAATTTTTTGCTTTAACTCTCTTCATTATTCGTTGTTCTTGTATTTACAAAAATTTCTCAAATCCTTCATTTCCGTCTCCATACTCTTTATGTGACTTTCCAGATTCTCCTCTCGATAACTATGGTTGATTTCCCGTCTCCCTGAATTTGAGCTAGCTTTGTGCCTTATTCTGGTTAACAGAATAGATGATGTGTCAGTTCTGAGCCTGGGGCTTATAGGTTTGTGTTCTCATTCTCTAGGGAATCCTATCTCTGCCCAACAAACCAGCTGGGACCAGTCTACAAGAGGGTGAGACAACACATGGACCAGAGCCATGTCATCCTTCTAAGTTCAGCCAAGTTGAATTTCAGTTGACCTAGAGCTAACCCTGGATGAAAGAGGGAGCTCCACAATATCCAGCTCAGTTGACCTAAAAACTTTGAGCAGTAATAAACGGTTATTTTTAAATCACTAAGTTTTGAGGTAGTTTTATTCACAGCAATAATTAACAAAAGCTCTTATGTATGAAATCAATTATCTCTTTATTAATATTTCCATCATGATACCTTTGGTTGTAGTTTTCTCAATGATTCTCCTGGGCTTTTAGGGTATAAAATGATACCATATGCACAGAATGGCAATTTTACCTTCTTCCTTCCAATATTTTATAATCTTTCATTTCTTTCTCTTGTCCAAATGCTTTAAGTATAATATTAACAATAACAGTAAACAATCGTTTCTTGTTCTGGATATTATCAACCATGATGATACTTTTGACTAATAAAACACACATTTTATCCTTAACAAAAAAATCAAACTATTCCTTTTATTATCTTTATCTAGAATAGCTAAAGAGCTATATTATATGCCTTCTTAGAATTTATATAGGATGAATATATTGTTTATGTCCCTAAATCAATATGACTATTTTAATAAGAATTTATTTCTAGCCTGTTGTTATTCCTATTATGTTACTATCCTCACTCCTATAAAAAATACTAATTGGTATTGTATAAAATATGTATTTTTAAATATACTACTACATCCTGATTCCTATTATTTTATTTAGCAATATTTTGTTTGGATATAAAAGAAAGCTTCATATACAACTTTTATGGAGGGAGGGCAGCAATCTTCTATCGGATTTAAGTAGCAGTGATACACCTGCTTCATAAAAAGAATTTTAATGTTTTCCATCTTCTTAGCACTGGAAATTTCTGCTATTTATAAAGGCTTAAAATTCCTCTGAACCACCTCAGCACGGTGCTCTTTCTTTGCAAACAGGGTACCTTACTTTCTTATGAAAATATTGTTGAGATTTTTCCCTCTTTTGTACCAGTTATATAAATAATTTTTCCTAAAGATATATGCATTTCACAGGATTTTTAAAAAAATATTTACATTTTTGAGAGAAGTTTTTATGAACCTTTAATTTTCAGTTTCTGTTAATTACTTAATTCACTAAACAAGAGATTCGCTAGGGATATTTTTTCACAGACTCAGATTTCTAAGACTACTTCCTATATTATTTAGCTCTTTAAGTTACATTTCTAGTTTTGTTGATTTCTTCATTCTGCTTATTTCCTGATATAAGCATTTCAAGTACTGTCTTTTCCATTCAGCTTTGCATTTAGCTGTATATCCTACAAGTTCTGATATACTGAACTATATATATATATATAAAATATATTGAATGCTTTCAATATCCTTGTCTCAAATATTCTGCTGTTTCATTTTATATTTCTTTTTTTTAAAAGAGATTTTTATTTATTTATTCATTAGAGAGACAGAGAGAGGCAGAGATATAGAAGAGGGAGAAGCAGGCTCCGTGCAGGTAGCCCAACATGGGACTTGATCCTGGGACTCCAGGATCACACCCTGAGCTGAAGGCAGATGCTTAACCACTGAGCACGCCCAGGCATCCCTTATATTTCCTCTTTGAGTCAAAAGTTAGAAGACTCCCCCCACCAATGAAACTCCTAGTATACTGATTTTGTTTACAGATTTACTGTATCACAACCAAAAATACTATCTACATCACTTCTACCTTTAAATTCAAGCTAGTTAGCATACAGTGTACATTAGTTTCAGGGTAGAGTTTAAGGACTCATCAGTTGCATAGAATACCCAGTGCTCATTACATCAAGTGTCCTCCTTGATGTCCATCACCCAGTTCTCCCATCTACCCTTGCCTCCCCTCCAGCAACCCTTAGTTTGTTCCCTAGAACTGAGTCTCTTATGGTTTGCCTGTTTTTATCTTTTCTTTCCCTTCCTCTGTGCTGTTTTGTTTCTTAAATCCCACGAGTGAAATCATATGGTATTTGTCTTTCTCTGATTTATTTCACTTAGCATAATACCCTCTAGTTTAAAACAAATACCCTCTAGTTCCATCCACACTGTTGCTAGTGGCAAGATTTCATTGTTTTTGATGGCTGAGTAATATTCCAATGGCTGAGTAATATTCCACTTTATGTGTATATGTGTGTGTATACCACTGCTTTATCCATTCATCAGTCAAAGGACATCTGGGTTCTTTCCATATTTTGGCCATTGTGGACATTGCTGTTACAAACGCTGGGGTGCCTGTGGCCCTCTGAATCACTAGTTTTGTGTTTTTTGGATAAATACCTAGTAGTATAATTGCTGGGTCATAGAGTAGCTCCATTTTTAACTTTTTGAGGAACCTCCATACTATTTTCCAGAGTGGCTGCACCAGTCTGCATTCCTATCCACAGTGCAAGAGGGTTCCCCTTTCTCCCCATCCTCACCAACGTCTGTTGTTCCTTAAGTTTTTCCTTTAGCATTCAGACCAGTGTGAGGTTGTATCTCATTGTGGTTTTATTTCCCTGATGATGACTGGTGTTGAGTATTTTTTCATGTGTCTGTTAGCCATGTGTAGGTCTTCTTTGGAAAAATAACAATTCATGTTTTCTGTCCATTTCTTGACTGGATTTTTTGGTTTTTAGGTACTGAGTTTGTTCAGTTCTTTATAGATTTTGGATACTACTATAGCTTTTTATCTGATAAGACATTTACAAGTATCTTCTTCCATTCCATAGGTTGCCTTTTAGTTTTGTTGTTTCCTTTGCTGTGCAGAAGCTTTTTATCTCGATGAAGTCCCAATAGTTCATTTTTACTCTTGTTTTCTTCACCTCTAGAGACATGCTTAATAGAAAGCTGCCATGGCTGAGGTGAAAGCTGTCACTGCATTTGTTTTTTTCTAGGTTTTTGATGGATTCCTGTCTCACATTTAGGTCTTTCATCCGTTTAGAGTTTAGTTTTGTGTATGGTGTAAAATGTGGTCCAGTTTTCCCAACACCATTCGTTGATTAGTGTTTTTCCATTGAATCTCTTTCCTGCTTTTGTTGAAGATTAGCCGACTATAGAATTGAGGGTCCAGTTCTAGGTTCTCACATTGCTTCTAACTTTTAGAATTGAGATTTTCTTTGTGGCATAACATAGGATCATTTTTTTTCAATATTCTATAGGTTCCTCAAAAGTAGGTGTTTTATATTTTTACAGTGCAGTTTTATATAAGTTAATCAAATCTACCTTTTTGTTATTAAAAACCACTGTATCCTTGTGCTTATTGTTTTGTTCATTTGATCATGAATTGAAAGGTCAATTACTGTCTCAATTAGTACTGGATTTCTATTTTTCCTCCTGTAACTTTTTTTTGAATAATGATACTATGTTATTTGTTGCACATATATCTGTTAATGGTTCTTTCTTCCTTGTAAATTACACATTACAACGATAGTATCCTTTATGGAGTGCTTTGGAGCTGAACTACACTGTCTACTATTTAGATCATATGTGCTCTCTTTACTTGTAATCACCTGGCAAGTATTTAGCTATAATAAATTAGTTAAGATCATTTTACATTTCAGCTTTCTTATGCTAGTATTTTCTGTTTTCAGTAAAAGACTTTTTAATGTGCAGTTTGTCCACTGTTAACAGTAATATTACTTTGTGCTGATTCAAAGCAAGAACAGTGTAATTCACACTAGTTGAAGTAATCAATAGTATGCCTAGTTGATAGTAACATTTGCTTGCATATGGTCTTAAATCTTTCACCAAAAAAAATTTTAACATTATTATCTCATTAAAAATGTATGGTTGTGTGACCATAGAAGAGCATATACTAGAAGAGCAGCTGTAGTTTTACTCGCTAATCAATGGCAGGAATATTACAAAGAAATGTCTAAAAGGCATAACATATTATGGTTATTGACAAGGGCTTTGGAAATAATATCCAGAGAAGAATCCCAGCTATATTATTATTTGTGTGACATTAAGAAAAATAATAAACCTAGCTTGAAGCAGTTTATCTGTCAAAGAGCAACAGCACCATGTAATCTATAGGGTTATTTTAGGAAGGCAGTATAACATAGTACATTAGTTTTCACATGTAAGTATATGTGAATAATATTTGAGAACACATATCCTTAGCCTTAGATCCAGAAAATCAGATTCAGTAAGAGAAAATGAATTTTTAAAACAAATACATTATAGGATTCTTTTGCTAATTATAATCATGAAATGACACTCAGAAAATTATAGGTTCTGGAGACTGATTTTGAATGCTGGCTCTATTCAACTTACTATGTAACTTAAGTTATAAAACTTTTCCAGCTCTGTCTTCTCATCAGAAAAACAATGATTTTTTTTTAATTAGTACAAGGCCTGCAAAATTGTCATACTCAATAACTATTATTGTTCAGAATTTTAAAAACTGCATCTAAGAAATAATAATTTTAAAAGTTCTATTAAAATGTATTTTTGCTTAATATTTTTTAAGCGATTTGTTTTGTTTATATTATAGTATAGACCAAGGTAGATTTACTGTAAAGCTTAACTTCTGGGCCCCTTATACTTGTGTGGGCCCTTTCTAAATACAGTTGACACTTGAACAACACAGGTTTAAACTGCACAGTTCCATTCATATGTAGATTTTTTCTGATAAATCCAGTACAGTATTGTATTTTTTCTTCCTTATGATTTGTTTAGTTTTTTTATTTAAATTTCAGTTAGTTAACACATTGTAATACTAGTTTCAGGTATACAATTTACTGATTCAACACTTATAAACAACACTCATTGCTCACAAGTGCCCTGCTTAAATACGTGGTTTTAAAAGAAATTAGTAATGCTAACCTTTCAGTGATCTTTCCACTCAGGCCATCCACAATCTCCAAAGAAATGTCCCCCTGTGCCCAATTCAGACTCAAGGATTTATATTCCAAGTTTGTTTGCAGTGGATATGCAGAAGGTACTAAACTAACATGAGGTCTGTTGACCAAGTAAAACATTGGAAGTTTTGAAGTAAGTGCATCATCAACACGTTGCTTTACAGCAATTTCTAAACCTCTAGTATCACTGCAATTCCCATCACCTAGAAAGTAAAAACAAAACACTCAGAAGTTCAATATCAATAGACCCCCCCCAAAAAAGGAAATAGTCTAATGTTATCATTTATCTTGCAATAATATCTTTCCTTTCCCACCTCTCTCTTACCAACTACTTCTAAATTCTTTACCAGTATCAGGACAAGGTAACAATGGTCATAATTTCCATTCAAAATAGAATCTACAGAAAATAAATTGACATTCCAGCGAATAAAAATGAAGAGCCAGAAATGTCCTCTCAAAAATATAGTACTGTTTATAAGATTCTGCCCAACAGAACTGGCTCATCCTGTCTTGATTCCTTAGATTACAGCATGAAACCAGCACATAATATAGAAGGATAAGCAAGGCTGATAAATAGTTGGTGAGATTAAGCTATTTTTCCATATCTAAGGGCCACAAATTACGCCTATTCCAGGAGGACAATGCTTCAGTTTCACAACACAAAATCATTTAAATAATGTCTATTTCTGATTATAATTTTTGCTAATAACAAAACCAGTTAAAATAACTATTGAGAGAAAGCTCAAAAAGATGTAATGTCATTAGTACAGTATAAAATTGTGAGCTGCATTAAACTTAAAATAGAAATTAGACAACTCATTCCCATTTAAAAATTAGTAATTCTAAATTAGACCCCTTTTCTCAGAAAAAGAAATGTTATATGCCACAAGACTTTATTTTCCAAATAAAATTGTTTCCATACATTGGAACTGTTGAGATGGCTGCTGGTTATGACTATCTGGAAACTAGAAAATGATGTAAAAAGAACATGAATTGCTATTGACAGCCTTTTTCTAAATACTCTTTTTTAAATTCCAGTACAGTATAGTTTCAGATGTATAATATGCAGATACAACAATTCTATATATTACTTGGCACTTATCAAGATGTATTCTTCTCTTAATCCCCATAATGTATTCCACCCTTCTCTCCACCTATTTCTCTTCTAGTAACCACCACTCTGTTCTCTATAGTTAAGAGTTTGTTTTCTGGTTTGTCTTTTTTTTGTCTTGCTTGTTTTTAAAATTACACATGAGAAAAAAAAATCCACACGAGTGAAATCATATGGTATGTGTCTTTCTCTGACTTATTTCACTTAGCATTATACCCTCTGGATCTATCCATGCTGTTGCAAATGGCAAAATTTCATTCTTTTTTATGGCTGAGTAATATTCCATTGTAGGTATCTATCACATCCTCTCTATTGTAGCATCCCAGAAAAAGACATACTGTAATGAGATAATGGCACTGTTTGTGCCTAAAATACAAAGACATATGTGGGGGGAAAAATAGCCCTGCAAGTCAAATTCCATTTAAGATTCCTTACATGCCAAATTGATTCATTTAAAAATGTTTTAATATAAAACAATAATTTTATAGAAAAGCATATTAATATTAGAAATTTTACTGTTCCCCTTTACATATGTATGCTTTAACTATTAACTAAATCTGAAGTATGGTTTTGTTTATATACAGAGGCTAAATCTTGTTCCTGGAAAAATACAGATCTAATAATATGTCATATAGTAGGGAAAATTTGATTTATCTAAAGTTATCTAAAATAACATGAAGCTCAAAGGTAAGCCAAAAACTAAATCTAATCAAAGACAACAGCGGACTTGACTGGACAGCTTTTTATACACAAAGATTCTCAGGAGATTAATCTACCATAAGTGTAATATAAACCCACAGAAATGGTTGTGGAAACAGCTCTTAAAAAGGCTGCATGAAGAAGAATAAAGTGCATAAATCAAAGAATCAAACATTAAAGAACTATGTACTGGCCCTACCACATCTGGAACATAATTAGTCTGGGGTATTACATTTTAACACCACCACCCATTTATCATAGAACATCTGGAGAAAACAAATCATGTTCCTGTGAAACACAAATGTGTGAGTAGAAGACATAAGGCAAGAAACATCTTGCCTTTGTATTCATAATGCTCACTCTGCATTTCATTACATGAATAGCACCTTTGAGAATAATGCAACAGTGCACAACACCTAACATATAGATGAAAAAAAAAACCATATAGATGGTTCAATAAAAACCTGACAAAAAAGGAATATAAAACATATTATCAGAGAGCAGTAATTATCAATCCTGGGTGCACATTAGAATCTTTAGGGATTGGGATATTAATACCAATACCATTTCATATTATTTTAAAAGCTTCCTGGGTGGGAATAAAAGCAACAAGAATAACATTTTTCCTGTATTCCAGAGTTAGTTTTAAGTAGAAAAATAAAAGCACTTTCGAAAACAAAAACAAAAAAACACGCTGATTCAAACCATTTATTCACGAAACATTTACTGACCAACACCCCCAGCATAGATTGGACCAAGATGAGTGTGGCAAAGGATCTGCCTTCAAGACGGTCAAGTTTAAAAGACATAGCAGTGAGATTCTTGTCACTGGCTATGCTCAAACAAAGCTATCAGAGTTCAACTTAATACAAAAAGCAGCAGCAGAAGTTATGAAATGATTTTGAGTCCAGACTCTGCCAACAGGCAAACTGAATGATATGGGGCAAGTATTTAACATTTGAACCTATTACTGAGATTTAAAAAAAAAAAAAGGAATGAATAACAGAATCTCTAACATTATCAAATGTTTCTTAGAAGTCCATGAACTATGTTTAAAACAGATTTTTTCATTAGGAGGGAATTAGTAATTGGTAATCTTTACAATCCAAATGTACAATTCACATCTGTGTATGAAAAGAACTCCTAGATGGAAATACCTCTGGATAAACACTCTTGAAATATTTAGACAGATGATCTTACCATAACATAATACATAATTTGCAAGATATACCTTAAAAAGCTTGAAAAGTAATATAAAGCCAGCTGTTTTTAAGTACTTAGGCAAAGTGAATTTTCTTCCATATTGCTCTGGATTATTTTCCCTTCCCCCCCCCTGAAGATTTTGAGAGAGAAAGAGTGCACATGCATGAGCAGAGGGAAGCGTAGAGGGAGAGGGCAAGAATCTCAAGCAGATTCTATGCTGAGGATAGCGCCCCATGCTGGTGATCCCACAATCCTGAGATCATGACCTAGCCAGAATCACAAGTCAGATGCTTAACCCACATGCTACCAAGGCACCCCATTGTGGATTATTTTCTATTCAAATAATAATAAATGTCTTTTTAATGCAAGCCTAAGACTTTTTTCCTAAAAAAGAATACTGCCATAAAGTGATAAAATGAACATCTATGAACATGTACAGCATAAAATTTGCTTCTCTAAACTTTTTGAAAAGTTAAAGAAGTCTTAAAATGTAATACTCTACACATTGGTAACTGATCTAGTAAATTAGATTTTTAACAATTAAAGAACTGTAAAAGATTTCATAAGACTTAAAACAGAACAAGATGAGGTCGTTACCCTCACTTATATTGTCAGTACAGAATTAAAGGGAAGCAAATTTCAATTCTAAATGAGGAGGAATTTAAAAAAAACAATTGGAGCTATTTAATAGACTGACTTTAAATCCTACAATCCACATTATTGGATGCTCTTAAACTGAGGTTAGATGATATTCTATCAGGAATGGCATAAAAAGAGTTTATATACTAAGCAAGAAGCTAACCTACTAATAAAATTCAGTGAACTCTGAAGATTCTTTTAGCTCTCCAAATCTCTTTTAGTTTAAAGAAATTTTAAATGAGTGTTTCTCAAAGAGCCATTCACGTAATTGTATCCAAATCACCTAGTGGTGCTTCTAAAATGTGTATTCCTCTGCCTCAAAACTCCTACCCCCTTCCCCAGGCAGAATAAGGATCTCAAGATGTTCAAAAATCTGCATTTTTTATAAACAACTTAAACAGATTAAAAATCATTTAGGTTATACCAGGCAGAATGCAAATTAGCTTTAGGTGTGTTCCACAAAGATGCCAAGAAAGAGAACAGAAATAATTTTACAAAGTCTTATAGAATGTTTTTATTGCTACCTGATGTTCCCCATTGCTAGGTGCAAGATGAAACTCAAAATGACAAGAGATTTAATTTTTAAGCTCCTGGGATCCCTGGGTAGCGCAGCGGTTTGGCGCCTGCCTTTGGCCCAGGGCGCGATCCTGGAGACCCGGGATCGAATCCCACGTCAGGCTCCCGGTGCATGGGGCCTACTTCTCCCTCTGCCTGTGTCTCTGCCTCTCTCTCTCTGTATGACTATCGTAAATAAATTAAAAAAAATTAAAAAAAAATTTTAAGCTCCTGTCCCAAACCACTAGCTATTACGAAGTAATTCTACAAGAATCTATAACCATCCAACCTTTTAAGAAACTAAATATAGCATGGAATTATATCATAAAAGCGACTAATTTTACATCTTCATCAAAGTCAAAGAAAGCTATGATTCTAGTGAAAGCATAGACAATTCTTACAGACCTAATAGACATTCAAGAAGAAAAAGCCTTTCTTAAAGGTGACCGAGAAAAATTTAAGCATCTGAGAGAGTATCAGACCTAAAAAGAAATATGGCAAAGAACTTTTGTAACCAAATTAAATCTAAGAAACTATCATCCACAAGAATTCATATATGGAAAAAGAAGATTTAGAAAAGTAACTACTTTTGAGGGTAAGAAGAACTGGCACTGTCATATATTACCAGTGGGAATGTGATTTGGGGGGTAACTTAGTAACATTTTTCAAAATTGCAAATGCATACATCTTTACCTGCCATTCTATTTCTAGGAATTCATCTTAGAGACAGACTTACAAGTCTTTTATATTTGTCAAATAACAAATATAAAAAAAGTCATTCACTATGCATTTTGGTAGCTGTAAAAAAATATTAGAAATAATCTAAAGTTCCTTCAACCTGTAAGTGCTTAAATAAATTATGATACCTTTATACAAAGACGTACTATACAGTGAGAAATAATTAGGAAATTCTTACATACTTGACATGGAAATATTTCCAGAATACATTAAATGAAAAAGCAAAATGCAGAAAAGTATGCACTATATTATCTATTCATGCAAAATACCAAGTATGATTACAAGTTACCATGAAATAAAAAGTTCAACAGAACGATGAATGTGGTTTACCTTAAATAAAGGATCACGAATGCAAAATATGATTTTATGCTGATATATTTACTTAATGAAAAGAGGCCAAGAGGTACTGAAATCCCACTTACCAACAAGTATACTGCTGATGTAAACTGGCTGTATAAAGTGACTCAGCAATGCTCCCTGTACACCAAGCACTTCCCATCTTGTCAATTTGTCACTTGAGGACATACTGCTTACTCTATTAACAACATCTGCAGGACAGTAGACAGTGAGATAAATTTTGCCTTCAACAGCCACATGGAGACTCAGTTCTTCATTGGCTTCAAATGCAGATATAGAATGTGGATTAAGACGCCTAGAAAAAGGAAAGGTTTTTTTTTTCTTTTACAAAACAAAGTATACAAAATGGGGTATTACTCAGCCATAAAAAAGAACAAAATCTTGCCATTTGCAATGACATGCATAGAGCTAGAGAGTATTATGCTAAGTGAAAGTCAGAGAAAGACAAATATCATATGATTAAATCATGATATTTGTGAGATTTAAGAAACAAAACAAATGAGCTAAAGGGAAAAAGAGAGGGAGGGCAAACCAAGAAACAGACTCTCAATTACAAAGAACAAACTGATGGTTACCAGAGGGGAGGCTGGTGGGGGGATGGGTTAAAAAGAAGGTGATTAGGATTAAGAAGTGCACTTGTGATGAGCACTAGGATCATACAGAAGTGTTAAATCACTATACTGTACACCTGAAACTAATATTACACGGTATGTTAACTGGAATTTAAATAAACATTAAAACAATTAAAAAAAAGTGGACAAAGTAAAATCTATATGTACTTAAGAATTGTTTTCAAACATGTTTAACTTGCCATTCCTTAAGATTAATACCAAACAGAAATTAACCATATTTAGAGCTTCTGGGCAAAGATAAATTCTTTTTACTGCCTTTATGTCCCTTAAAATAAAATGAAAACTTAAGTTTTGTTCCTTCCACAGTTGTCATTTTCTTTCTCTGAAATTTTTTTAAAAATTTAAAAAAATACAAGAGAATGAAGAAAAAATAAACCCTGACAATTTGTGTTCAAGATTAATCTCCAGTAAAATATGTTAAAAAAAAAAAAGTAAAATCATTTGTTCTGAATCTTCTCTCCAGGAACAGTCCTTGCACTTGTTTTCAAAGGTGTAACTGGAAGAATTTCTAAAAAAAATATTAACCATGGTTATCTCTAGATAGACTTGCTTTTCTCCTTTGTGCTTGTCTGTGCTGTTTAAGTGTCATGCTGATGCTACTCATTCATCAAGATAATAAAGTTTTAGCTACAGACTCAGAAAAACTGCATTAACTCCAGTATTAGTATGTGAGAATTCATAAAACCAGGCTTTCCTAACATTTATGAAGTCTTAAAACTCGAAAGAAGAAAATTTTCAACAGCACAGAAGTATGTGGAATAATTTTAGTAGTAACAGATCAGACTGAGTGGAGAGGCCCCTGCTAGAGGCCACAAATAACACCTCAAGTCAGAGGGAGAATACGAATAGGTATGAGTTTACTTGTTCTAGTGCTGTTCTAGGGACTTAGAATATATGATCTAGCCATTCTAACTGCTTTTAAAAACAACTTCTACAATACTTACAATTGTGACTTAATCTGAGCTGACCCTTTAGGCAACTGGTTCATATAGAGATAAATGTTGATATTCTGTTTCAGAGTCAGTAGATTAGAAGCTGGTTCTGTACAAAATATTGATTTTTCCATCATAGCAGGATTTTTGCTGTAGAAGAGTAGAAGTTGTCTATAAAAGTACCTAAAAAAAAGAGTTATAACTTTATTAAGTAATAAAATTTTACAGTAATTTATTTTAAGCATCATATTCATGTGTGTCGTGAACAATGTCCCTCATTGAAAGGCTATTTCTCCAAAGGAAAGTTTGGAAATTAAGAATTCCTAAAATAACTTTTGCCTTATTTAGAGAAGAGTTAAATCCTGTAAGAAGTCCTCAACTGTAGCCCAGTCTGACATGTGACCTAAAAGCACCATTCCTTGACTACTACACTCCACTCATTTCACATTTGAGTCCTAAACAGTCATATCCAGCTAATGACCCATTTCTCTATTGATTCCTCTCTTTTCTCAGTTCTGCTCTCAGCCTCCTACTTGAAGTGTAAAAATTCTCCTTGCTTCTTTTTTCCCTTCCCTGACAAAAGAAGTCCTCAACTGTAGCCCAGTCTGACATGTGACCTAAAAGCACCATTCCTTGACTACTACACTCCACTCATTTCACATTTGAGTCCTAAACAGTCATATCCAGCTAATGACCCATTTCTCTATTGATTCCTCTCTTTTCTCAGTTCTGCTCTCAGCCTCCTACTTGAAGTGTAAAAATTCTCCTTGCTTCTTTTTTCCCTTCCCTGACAAAACAACCAACCACTGTGGTTCCTGCTTCATAGTGGTTTTGAAGACAAAAACAAAGAATTGCAAAAACAATACGATGAAAATCATAAGTCATAGTAAGAAGTGGAACAAATTTCCTGAGAAACTAATACAAATCAATCAGGGGACAAATACTATTTTGCTTATTAAAAACATTTTAGTCCTTTCATCAGAAATAATTTTAAAGACTCAGCACAAGCATATAATAGGGCCAAGCATGGGAAGAAATAAAAGTAATTTTAAAGAGGTCAAATAATTCAATAAGCACCAACGAAGATTAGAGAACAATGAGTTGCATTAACTTCCCCCAAATTTTCCCTTTAAGATTATAGGATTCGTTCCTTATAGAAACATGTACTTAAGTTTTTCAGACAAAATTATGTCTAAATTTGTTTTAAAATACTCTACCACAGAAAATACCAACAAAAAGTGAGGATGCAAAGATTAAATAAGAACAGAATGCTGATAACTAAATATGCTGATAACTGGATATGATCACAGATATTGGTATTAGAATGCTAATAAACTGAATGATAGAATTCATTATCCTATTCTTACTGTGTTTGAAAATTTCCATTAAAAAGTTTTATAGAAAGTAAACTCAAAAAAAAAAAAAGTAAACTCAATGGCTTAACAGAACCAAAATCTGGTAGATACTGGAAAAAGTAACAAATTCTTCACTTTTCATATGAGGACTTCTAAGGAGTAACATTCCTGGCTTCTCTTTCTGCTATTTTCACTTTCGTTCTCATTCTATTTCTCTTTCTCATTCCTAGCTTCTCTACCTGCTATTCATGCCTTTTGTAAAGAGCAGAGTGACTACCAATGAATTTAAGAAACAGGTGTGCTCATCTCAGCCTTTTCTGCCAGCCTGTACAAACTTATAGTTATAAAAACAAAAACAAAAACAAAAAACAGGGATGCCTGGGTGGCTCGCAGTTAAGCCTCTGCCTTTGGCTCAGGGCGTGATGCTGGAGTACCGGGATCGAGTCCCACACTGAGCTTCCTGCATGGAGCCTGCTTCTCCTTCTGCCTATGTCTCTGCCTCTCTCTCTGTCTCTATGAATAAAATATTTAAAAAAGAAAAAGTCAGGAGGATGAAAAGTATAGCAAAGGGAACAGAGTCAATAATATTGTACAGCTACAGATGGTAACTACATTTACCATGATGCGGAGTATGGTGACTGCTGCATACTAACATGTTTAACATCATATGTCAACTATATCTCAATTTAATAAAAAGAATACCATTATCTACATTTTGCTATAAACTCTGCATAGACATCATGAATGCAAACTTACTGGCTTCTAGTGATGTTTTTAAATGTGGCTAATTTGGGGGTGAATATTACACCAAGTCTACTTGGTCCAGATCTAAAGCTATATACTCACTTTGATCAGTAATAAAGATGGTATATTAAGAAAAAAGTTGTAGGACTCTTAAAATTGAGTTCATAAAGTCTTGATAAGAAAGGCCACTAAAACCTACAAATTAAGACACTGCATTTATTGTAAAGTTTTTAAAAAATGACATAGAAATAATCAGAGACTGTCATATCCAAGGCTCAATGATCAGTAAAATTCCATTTGTAAATAAAGACACTGATATGTGGTTACTTTGGGCTGAAAGAATTAATATTTGGTGGCATTAAATATATGTTACCTTACCTAAGGAGAGACCTTCTGGCTGTAACGACAGCATGAGTGTCGTGCAACACTCTTCCATTTGGCTTAATGCACTGGCTGTAATTGTATTCACCTGTGCCTATAGCTACAACTTCATGCTGTCCAGCTGAAAGGAAAAGGTTAACAGTAACAGGTTATTCTGGCCTCTTTCTTCTCTATATTCAACCTCTACCTTACCATTTTAAAGTTACTAAAATATATTGACCAAATAAATGGAAAATCCCAGTTTTAAATAAGAGTTTGAGGGTCTTCTGGGAACATTTTTTAATAGTTCAATAATATTCCTAAAAAGGCAGATATTTTATGATAGTTCATCAGAAATTTTACCACCATCAACAGAATTATCAGATATTCTTAGTTTTCAACTACACATCTATTTCTTCTACATCTAGATGTGTTTGGCTTACTAGAGACTTCATTTGCCATTCTACTTCTGCCTTAAAGTTATCTAACGACTATTTTTTTTCTATTTTTTCTTAATCCACTCAAACTCTGCAAATCATAGTTTCTCTGTTCTACTGAAACTGTTTTAAAGATTGAGAGCGTGTCCACATGAGGAGGAGGAAAGGAAGAGGAAGAAGTAGTCGTCCCACTGAGCTGGGAGCCCAACCAGGGACTTGATTCCAGGATCCTGAGATCATGACTTGAGCCAAAGGCAGACACTTAACCAACTCAGCCACCCTGGCACCCCTGAAACTGTTTTTAAAGAAACAAGCACCTTATTCTTTTTCTAACAGTTCTTCTCCATTTTTTTTTTCTGTACCTTATTTGAGATTTCTTGAAACTCTATGCTCAGATTACATAATCCTTTTTTCTTTCACATCCTAACTCTAAGGCCTTTCTATAGTGTAGTCACTAAGCTCATTGCTCTTTTTTCTCTAGAATATTCTCCTCTGAACATCTTGTATTTTCTTTTACTTCATATTGATTATTTCAGAAAATCTCTAGTCTTAGACTTTCAAATAAAGTTCAGTTTCAGGGGTACCTGGGGGGCTCAATCAGTTGTGTCTGACTCTTGATTTTGGCTCAAGTCATGATCTCAGAGTCCTGAGATTGAGCTCTGTGCGACAGAACCCTCAGTCAGGCTAGGCTCCATGCTCAGCAGGGAGACTGCTAGAGATTCTCTCTTTTCTGCCCACTCATATACTCACACACTCTAAAATAAATAAATCTTAAATAAAAAGGTTTCACCTTTGCAAATACCTAAAAGGACTTTCATTAATTCAACAAAAACTGAAGAACTAAAAAGTATATGCTAGGAATAAAAAGTTGAGCAAGACATGACCTCATGAAGCTTCTAATAAAGACAGAAAAAGACTAAACAAACCACAAACTATGACATGTGCTTTAAAGGGGCCAATGTAAAAAATAATGGAGGGCGAGGTTACCTCATGCAAACTAGCTGCAGAATCTCTATGAAACGGAAATTTAAGTTTCAACATGAGGTGTGATAAGGGGCATTGCAGTCAAAACTGCAAGCTTCTGTGGACCCTGGGCAGGGAGACCAGTATAGCTGCTCCAGTAAAGAGGTAAGGAAATGGCATCAGATGAGGTCAGAGAGTCATCATAAATCATGCTAAGGAGTCTGTGGATTTTACTCAAGAGCTATGTATGGTGAGGGTAAGAGACTGAAAACCATATTGTGTTACATTTTAAGATCATTCCTTTACATGGATATTTAGGGTCCAAGAAGCTGAAGACATAATGACTTAAGACTTGAGTAATGAAGAGTGGTTGGAAAAGAATAATCAGATCTGATGTAGTGTTTGGGGACATAACAGAACTTAGACATAAACTGTTATTAGGTTATTAGGGAAAGAACTCAGCTTTTTAGCCTGCCTGAACAACTGGGAAAATGCCAGTTACTGAGATGGAGAAAGCTAGAGGGGAAATAGAATTAGATGGGGAAAATAAGAAGTTCCATCATCACAAATGTAGCTGCTCCAGTAAGTGGATGGTGGTGGTAAAAGCAAATTATATAGTGTCACTAAGTTCTGGAATGGTGATGTAAAGTTCTGAGTTATAAATAGAAACTCAGTTTCTATTTAAACTCTGTAACAGGACCTGTCATGTTTCAGGGAGATACTAGTTTCATAATGCAGTAAAAGGCAATAACAAAAAGAAGGGATTCATCAAGTTGAAAGAGGGAATGGAACCAATATTTAAGTGAAGGGATCAGCTATCAAAGATAAGATCCTTCCTGTACTCACAGCAGAGAGGATGAGCTCAAATGCAATAAATTACATAGATTTGATGAAAAGAACAAAAGGAAGTTTGGATTTGATAGTTTCTTACAGACACAATAAAAAATTATGACACATGAGGCAGCTGGGTGGCTCAGCGGTTCAGCACCGCCTTCAGCCCAGGGCGTGATCCTGGAGACCCTGGATTGAGTCCCACGTCGGGCTCCCGGGATGGAGCCTGTTTCTCTCTCTGCCTGTGTCTCTGCCTCTCTCTGTCTCTCTCGTGAATAAATAAATAAAAAAAATGACACATGGCCATTAGTTAAAAGCAGGGATAGAAAAGAGGATCTGGGATATTTGAGGACAAAGCAAAGTATGAAGTAGACATTTCAGGGCATGTGTGATCAACCCTGCTAGACACCGGTTGGCTGGGCAGTGAGGAATATCCACTTGAGGCTTCTAATACATTTTTAAGTATGCATTGATCAAGTCACTTATTCCAGGAACGTGTACTTAATTTTACTCAGTGTCTCCGCACCCTAGATTTACAATTGTATCACTAAAACCAGATTTATTACTCTCATCCAGGCTATTCATACAACTCCACATCAGCTTCCAGATTCCTGTGTATATGGGAACAATGATCATTCTACTATGTAAACTTGAAATGCTAGGTCTTATATCTCATTTCACCTATCATTGTCACTTTCATATAATCACATCAATTTCTAAAAAATATTATCTTCTTTCCCTGTTCATATCTTTCTCAACTCTAATGTAAGCAGCTCCATTACAATAATCTAAGTTACGATACTCTAATTCAGGACCAATCCTTGTAGTATTTTTAAAAAACTGTTGGCAATTATTGCTTAAACATCAACTTTTTTTAATCATTACAAATGTAATTTAAGGTTTTCCTAAACGGCAAGTACTGTGCCAAATAATTTATATTATCACATCTAATCCTAGTACTCCATGAAGTAGAAGTTATTACTTCTATTTTTCAGAAATTAGAAGAAAACTGTAGCAGAGAGATGTTAAATATATAACATGCCCAAAGTCACTTAAGTAGCAGAGCTAAATCTCATGCTATATCCAACAATTAGAGTACGGTATCAATCCCTAACCAAAAATCTTTCACCACTTTCTATTTCATGAAATCCAACTGTTGACTGGATTTTAAAGGACTCCATAATCTGGTAACATCTTATCAACCTAACTATATTTTGTATTATGCACACACATACAGACACGTATGTACACACTTTTCTGCACTAGTAATAAATTTCTCTCATTGTTCCATAAAGTTTTCTCACTCCCACTTTCTTCCCTTATGCCTTTCTCTCTTCAAAAATGTCTTTTCTTCTATTTATCCAAGCCTTATTAATAACCCTTAGTTTCATGTCCCAAAGATTTTAACCTTATTGGCTCTCTACAATCTATTAATTTTCATGCATTTATGGATTACAGAAAATAATTGTTATCAACTTAGACTTTCAACAGTGTGTGTATATATATGTGTATAAATATTCTCTCCCTAAATTATAAAAACTCCTTAAGAATAGACCAAATCTGGGGATCCCTGGGTGGCTCCGTGATTTAGCACCTGCCTTTGGCTCAGGGCATGATTCTGGAGGCCTGGGGAATCAATACCCCCTTCGGGCTCCCTGTGTGGAGCCTGCTTCTTCCTCTGCCTGTGTCTCTGCCTCTCCCTATGTGTCTCTCATGAATAAATAAATAAAATCTTAAAAAAAAAATAGACCAAATCTCAATTGTTTTATATCATCTACAACATCTTACTCCAAGATGAACATAAAATTCAAATACTTTTATTAAATTATTAACCTAGAACACTAAAGGGTAAATAAAAGTTAAAATGTAGTTAGAATCATATCATAATATCCACAAGAAAAACCAGAAGCTCATGATTTTTCATATTATAATATTTTCGTATTTGAAAATGTGTTCATTTTTATGGGGTCCTTCTCAATGTTTATTACAATGGAAAATTAGATTTCAAGTTGGTAGTAGTTCCAACAGAGTTACTGTTTAAAATGTTAGGCATTTTACTTTTCTGCAGTTCTCTATTGGCTTCTGGTCAGCATACTGTAACATTGAGAGCCTTTGTATTTAATGATCCACATCCACTAGAAAAGGCCACTTCAAATCAATGCAACACCATTGTAAAAAGGACCAAAGAGTCAAAATACTACAATATATCGCTCAAATGATGAGGTTATTTAACACTTTTTCCATAAACCAACACATCCCAAATATCTGGACTTACCTCTTTCAATTATAAAAGCAGCCAATGAATTGCTACATTTCAGATATTCGGAATGATTAGAAATTAGTTTATTAAATGTTTCTTTAACAATTTGTGATATCTTTGCATACTGAATATGTCTCCCTTCTGGAAAAAAAAATCAAATGGAATATGATTTAAAGAACACAGTGCTTTCTCCCAGAGGCCTCTATTATTCCTATTATAACCTTACAATTGAGTTTGTAATTTACATATGTGAATTATAATTTATGCCACTGATACTTTAAAGCATTCAATTCTAAAAAAGACATGTTATTGAGCTTTATGGAAAATTTATTGTAAAAAGATTAATACTTCATATGAGTTACTGATCTATATTTGATGAAGTATTTAAAAATTATACAAGACACAAGTCATTTAATAGGATTGTCCCACACTGCCAACTAACATCTCACCAAATGCCAGTAGTCTTCCCTCAACACTGTGACAATTAAAATACATTCCCCTTAGTACTCGCCCCGCTGAGAACCACTGCAAAGCACTAATCACTTAGACCCTTTATACAGTTCCATGTTCCCACTGAACAAGTCCTGAACTTTGCAAGGGGATAAATTTTAAGTAATTAGGATTACTAGAAAACAGTTGATAATCAAGAATATAATGAAAAGTTAAAAAAAAATGACAGAGCTTATTAAAATTAAGGTTCTGGGGTAGGGCCTTGGCCATTTGTTTTGTGTACCCCTACTGAAGAACCATCGTTCTAGAGAATGAGAGGTTGCAGAATCCCCTAATACAGTTTCTCCAAGTTTAGCGGCAAATCACCAATAGCTCCTGATGTTTCATGATTGCTAAGCAGTCTACCAAGTGGTTTGAAGTCCGTTTCACATTTTTAGAGGACAAAAAGCAGTGAAACAACTTTGCTGTCATGCATTACATAAGAAATGAAGAATTATCATTTTCACAGAAATTCTTTTTACCTGCTCAATAATCATTACGTTAAAAAAGCACACAAATAATAAAAGTATGATATTAGCATTCTCAACTAACATTCTACTAATGGGACACAACACATTTCAGTTAGGCCATTTACATGCTTTGTTTATATTTGTTAAACTTTAATTTTTCTGTTACTATTGTTAATGCTCTCTTATTGGCAAAAACAAATCCACGTTATCACGAAGAATGCAAACAATCACAAAATCAATCACAAAATGAAGCTCAGGAAAAAATGAAGTAAGGGCTATATTCTTTTATCTCATCACAAAACATATAATGTGGAGATGTAAATTATTACAATTGCATGCTAGCATATATTTCACCAAAACTGTTATCAACAAAACTATCCATGTGTGGTGTATGAATTAGTTTTTGGTCCTTACACAATAAAAACGTAATGAGAACTACTCAGCAACTTGGCTCTGCTTACCACCAAAAATTCATGATACAGAGGAAAAAAATAATAAAAAATATATAAAAATATTTTTAAGTTTAATTTTTATTTTATTTATTTTTTTAAAGATTTTATTTATTAACTCATGAGAGACACAGAGAAAGAGAGAGGTGGAAACACAGGCAGAGGGAGAAGCAGGCTCCATGCAGGGAGCCCGATGTGGGACTCGATCCTGGGTCTCCAGGACCACACCCTGGGCTGAAGGCAGCATTAAACCTCTGAGCCACCCAGGCTGCCCTAAATTTAACTTTTTACCAAATGCAGATAATATTACCACTTTCTAATAGAAACTTTTAGAATCTGTAAATATAAACATATGTCACTCAAAAAACCAAAAACTGGAACATTCTGAAATGCACCTTTTGCATTTACCTGGTCTCAGACATCACTCAGGGACCACCTCATCCTTCTTTGTGGGTCCACAGAATGAATGTACTATAATTTGTTTAATCATGTCATATATAGTTAGCATGTATTTTGTGTTACGGAGTAGAAAAACACACTGCATTTAGTACTGACAGAATAAGAATTGTGGATGGGCAAAAAAATGTTCTGCTACACTTTAAAAGGTTGCACCTAAATATCATAAAGAACATTTGAGGGATCCCTGGGTGGCACAGCGGGGATCCCTGGGTGGCACAGCGGTTTAGCGCCTGCCTTTGGCCCAGGGCGCGATCCTGGAGACCCAGGATCGAATCCCATGTCGGGCTCTCGGTGCATGGAGCCTGCTTCTCCCTCTGCCTATGTCTCTGCCTCTCTCTCTCTCTCACTGTGTGCCTATCATAAATAAATAAAATTTAAAAAAAAAAAATCTGTCTTAAAAAAAAAAAAAAAAAAAAAAAAAAAAGAACATTTGGGACTTAACAACATCTAAGTATACCTCTTAAGTATACCTCTTGATCTTAATTCAGTGTTGAAGGAAATAACACTGTGAATATAACCAAGTCTTAGTTACTAAACGTGTCTCTTATTACCATGCACGTAAAGAATAAAAATCAAATGCAATACCATTTCCCTTATACATTTGTCCTGACTATTGAGGAAACAAAATGTTCTCCCAAGTTACTGAAAATGAAGGATGAGATAAAAACATGACATACATAATGCCGTTTAACACCATTTCTTTGGTTTTAAGTAGCTAATTTCAAGTGATCTTTAGTATCGTGTCACCTGAACCTATCCTCAGAGCCAAAATACCAATTTAAAAATTTGTATTTATTTATTGCAGACAGGGCAGGAAGTGCAAAGGGAGAGAAGCTTAAGCAGGCTCCACACTTGGTGTGGAGCCCAGTGTGGAGCTCCACCTCACAACCCAGAGATCATAACTTGAGCCTAAATCAAGAGTTGGATGCTTAACTGACTGAGCTACCCAGTCACCTCAAAATATCATTTTTTAAAGATTTTATTTTTAATTTATGAGAGAGAGAGGGGGAGGGAGGAGGGAGGGAGGGAGGGAGGGGGAGGGAGAGAGAGAATGGGTGGTGGGAAGGGCAGAGGGAGAAGCAGACTCCTTGCTGAGCAGGGGGCCCAGAGTGGGACTCAATCCCAGGACCCTGAGATCATGACCTGAGCCAAAGGCAGACGCTTAACCAACTAAGCCACCCAGGTGCCCCAAAATATTATTTTTCATGAAATATGGTCCAGTGAGAAATAGGGCAAAGCAGACAGTCTGTGTAATACCAATACTCTAATTGGCCAAATAGGATCTGTCCTGGAAATTACTGTGGTTCTAAAATCGTTTTTTTTCAAAGGCAATAACATCCAACTCCTGTGTTTACCCATTAGCTTGAAGGATGAGTTTGCTCTCCCTTTTATGACAACTCGACTCGTGTCTGAGCCTACTAAAACCTGACTCTAATCCTGTATTTTTTTAAACACACTGTTAACTATGTGTTCTTCCTTCCTCACAGATTGGTCTGTTTTCTCAGGGTATATTAATCTATATTGTCAGTTACTGACAGAGATTCTGTCCTGCCATTAATTAAAATTGCCCAGAGGCTGAAATGACACACTAGAGCCCTGTCCCCATATTAAGGGATGATTGTTGCTGGATTCAACCCTGACTTCCCTTCTTTTCACCAATTCTTATGATTGTTAGATTAAATTACTGTATTGAACTTTGATGGATTTTGTCATTTGAATATGTCTATTTCCCTGGTCTGTTTGTTCTTTTACTCCAAACAAGTTCACAAAAGCACAGATTTTCTGTTTTAGAATGATAATGGAGGAAAAAAAAAAAAGAGTGACTGACAATGGACAACCCAAGTCTGAATAGGCATAAATTGGAACATTGATGTTTCATGTTTCTTTATGTTTTTATTTACAGGTCCTCCTGTTTTTTAAACCCTCATCTTTAGACCTAGAAGAGAAGGGTATTATTCATTTTAATTCTGTAAATACTCTAAACTTTGAAGTCTGTAGTATTAACTATTGTGTAGGCAATGTAGAAATAATTTCCTGACTTTCAGAGAATTATGATCCGATAAGAAAAGTATACAACTACTACCATACAATGTCGAATATGACAAAATGTTGTAAAAAAAAAAAGTTACTATTTAGAAAGTATCTACTAGCACTGATTTAAGTATTCTACATGAATGAATTCATTAAATTCTCATAAGTACCCTTTGAGGTAATTACTGTTATAGCCATTTTATAAATGAAAAAATTAAGGTGCATAGAGAAGTAGCTGATTGTAGGTCATACAACTAGTAACTGCAATTGCAGTTTTCTTGAGCTTGAGTGACAAATAACTGCCATTAAAAGTAAACAATTATTGGATGCCTGGGTGGCTCAGTGGTTGAGCATCTGCCTTCGGCCCAGGGCATGACCCTGGAGACCCGGGATCGAGTCCCACATTGGGCTTCCTGCGTGGGGCCTGCTTCTTCCTCTGTGTCTCTGCCTCTCTCTGTGTCTCTCTCATGAAAAAATAAAGTCTTAAAAAAAAAGTAAACATTTAAAATAAAAACCCCAACCATTAAGCATCAGAAAGCCACTGGTTTTCATTAATGACAAGCCTACCAAAGCATTCTCAAAAGAGCAGCTATATGAAATTGATGAACCACTTCCTTATAGAAAAAAAAGTCATTTCTTCAAATTTTCTTCAACCTGTCTTCTTCCATTCCTTATTTCTCTTTTTTAGCACAATATAAAAGGAAAGTCTCCTCTTTGTAGAAGTGTTACAGGTTTGAATAAAATACTAGTATATATTTTCATATCTAAGCATATTTTAATACATGTTTAATTATAATTCTTTATTGGGTTACTAAAAAAGATCATAAGGGACTTTCCTACCATAATGTACTTTTGAGACATATGTTGGTTCAGGTGAAACAACAGGTTCTGCAGGGATAGGAGGAGGACCTGTAAATAAAACAAAAACATAAAGAAACATAAAACATCAATGTTCCAAAGAGCAGATACCTACCTTACTATTCTATAATAAAAAGCAGTCTGAGAATGATTATTTTTTTCTGTATAGTTCTGCCAACTCCAAGCCATCAAATATCCATAGCTCATCCTTGATAAAGGTCTTTCCTATGTTGAAATTATACACACACAGTTCTGGATTTCCTAATCTTATGCTATTATATACTTTGCATTATCACAGATGCCACAATCCTGAAAGTATTTAAAGTGAACCTTGTTTCAGATGCTCATGAACAATTTTCTATTTACAGTAATACTATGTAAAACACTTAATATCTTATTAAAATTCAATAAGTAAAAGTTATCATTTTTCCTAGCGGGATACTACATTCAGAGTATTCAAAGCTTGTAGTCCCATTCTTTGCAATGGCTTTCCGATTTGGATCCCGAGTTAGGGAACTGAGGAAAACAAAAAAAGAACATGACACTAAACCAAAGAAACAAATAAAAAGATCAGAAAAGTTTAAATGAAGAGGTTTCAGGAGCAAAAGTTCAACTAAAGTAATTAGTATCTCCTGAGATACTAATTTATCATTCATAAAAACAAAGGAAGCAAAAAAAACTATTACTCCGGACTTAATTTTGAGTAAGATGAAATACTGACTTAATATATCAAAATTAGTAAGGAAAGACTAGCAATGTTATTTGCGGTTCACATTAATTAGGCAAAGGATAACTATAATTAGACACATACATTCTGGACTATAGAAAAATAGAACTTTAAAAACTCAGAAAAAGATGGATTTTTTTTTTCCATTTACTCAGAGTTGGGTTCAGGTAGAATGAAAACCAAAAATATTAAACCTTGTTTATTAAGCACAAATAATTTCAACAAAGAAAATGTGACTGCACAAGTTGGCCTGCACCATATGCGAACAGGCAAAATAATCTTGAAAAAGAACAAAGTTGGAGGACTCACACTTCCCAATTTCAAAACTTAATACAAAGTGACATTAAATCAAAACATTAGAGTAATGGCATACAGACACATAGACCAATGGAACCAAGAACCCAGAAATAAATTCTCACATATTTGTCAAATGATTCTTGACAAGGGGGCCAGTATCATTCAAAAGGGGAAAAGGGCAGTCTTCAATAAATGATGCTGGAAAAACTGGGTATCCACATGCAAAAGATTGAAGATGGACCCCCTACCTAACACTATATACAAAAATTAACTCAATATGCTTTGAAGATCCAAACATTAAGGGTGAAAACTTTTAGAAGAAAACAGGAGAAAAGCTTGATGAAGACACTGGATTTGGCAACAGTCCCCTGAATAGGGCACTAAAAGTACAAGAAAAAAAAAAAAAAGAAAAAGTTGGCACTTTATCAAAATTACTTTTGTGAATCAAAAACCACTATGAACAGAGTAAAAATGCAAATCACAAAAAGGGAGAAAATATTTGCAAATCACATATCTGATAAGTGATTGATATCCAGAATATACATTAGTCCTCCCCTCTTTTGAAGGGATTAGTCACACCACAGATAATATCAAACCCTTTATATACCATATACATCCTTATGATAAAGTTTAATTTTCAAATTAGGCACAGTAAAAGATTAATAGAATAACACAAATAAAACATATACTGGAATAAAATTATGTGAATATAGTCTCTCTCAAAATATCTTACTGTATTCACCCTTCTTGTAATAATGTGAGATAAAATGTGATGAGATGAATTGAAATGAATGACATAGGTATTGTGACATAGTGTTAGGCTACTAATGACCTTCTGATATGTCAGAAGGAAGACCATCTGCTTCCAGACCACAGCTGACCACAGGTAACTGAAGCCAGGCAAAGTGAAACCGTGAATAAAGAGGAAACTACTGTATAGAAGACTCTTAAAACCCAACAAATCCTTTCAGAAATGGGAAAAATTCTGACATTTCTTTTAAGAAAATATACAAATGGCACATGAGAAAATGCTCACCATTATTAATCATTAGGAAAATGCAAATCAAACCCCAATGGGATGCACATCATCCCCAGTAAAATGGCTACTATATATATATATATACACACACACACAAAAGCAGCAAGTAACAAGTATTGGTGAGGATGTGGAAAAACCGGAATCCTTGTGCACTGTAGGTAGGAATGTAAAATGGTGTAGTCAATATGGAGAATATGGCAGTTCTTTAAAAAAAAAAAAAATTACCATATGATCCAGCAATTCCACTTCTAGGTATAAAACCCAAAGAACTGAAACTAGAATGTCACAGAGATATCAGTACACCTACGTTCATAACAGCATTATTCTCAATAGCCAAAAGTTGAAGCAATACAAGTATCCATCAATGGATAAACAAAATGTGGTTGGTATATACACACAGCATTAAGAAGGAAGGAAATTCTGACATATGCTACAATGTATATTGGACTGTAAGGACATTTTTAGTGGAAAAAAAGCAAGCCATGAAAAGACAAATACTACAGGATTCCACGTGAGGTACCTACAGTAGTCAAATTCATATAGACAGAAAATAGAATGGTAACTGCCATGAACTTAACATAGACAAACTTCACAAAAATTGTATTTAAAAACTCTAAGCATTAAATGTACAGTATTGAGAGTAAGAATCCAATAAATCACAGAAAAAAAATCAAGTTCTCTAGATATGAAGCTACTGAGAATCTGACAAATTATCAGACAATTCAGCCAACATATTTATAGCTTATGATGCTGAAAAATACAAGAGCATTTTTCTTTTATATAAAATCTTTTTATTTTTCACTTTGCTATTTTTATTTTTAATTCCAGTATGATGAATATACATTAACTTCAGGTGCACAATATAGTGTTCAACGATTCCATGCATTACTCAGGACTCTGACCATAAGTATACTTTTAATACCCTTTACAAGAGCATTTTAACTAGTATTTAGTATGTCGCAGCAATCAGATAGCAATGGAAGGAAATAAGTTCTGCTAGCTCTATCCTGTAGTTGCCAAACAACTCTTCATTAACAAATCCTTCAGGTGACTCCTGGAAAAACACAAATTTTACAAATACTTTATAATTAAGAGTAATTACCTGATGTTTCTAAAATTCTTGGTTCAGGTTCATCCAATTGTAGAAGCTCATCAAGAGCTAATTTTGCTGCATTCGATCTAGACTCCTTTTTATTTTGTCCCAGTCCAGTCTTATATTGAATACCATCCACCACAGCACAAAAAGCAAAATAAGGTCCCATAACATTACCTTTAAAAATAAGTCGGAATGAATGCTACATAATTCACAGTATGAACTTACAAATGACATTTTTATATAGAAAAATAACTCACTACAAAAATTGTGAGAAATCATCCTGACCTATCAGTTTTGTGTTTGGTTTTTTAGAGCTAATGCAAGTTAAACATAAAGCTGGATGAGCCCCTAAGTTAGTTCTGAGGAACCTATAGAGCAGCCAGATTAGCTCCATATTCGGCATGAACAGTAGGGAAAGGTTTAAAGTACAGATTGTACATGGAAACAGTGTCTTATTTAATGAAACCTGGCAATAATAAGCATCCAAATATCTACCAAATTACCAATGAGAGGTAAAAAATGTGGAGCCTCTGGCAACATCGCTCTTCTTTTGAAATTCAATACCAATAAAGTTGAATTTCTCCCACCTTCTGAGTGCTCTGATATTCTCAGTAAGTTCCAGAATAAAACTGATCCCTTTGCAGAAATCTTGTGAACTTACCAGGGTGTTATGGTAAGCAATTCACGCAACCATACCCTTGAGGGCAAGTGGAGGGGAGAGAATCCACAAAGAAAACCGAAACATAAATAATACAGAAGATATGCTAAAGATTTAAAAGGAATGTCCAGCCATCCAAAATTCCTAGGATTCCCTTTACACAATTACTTTTATCTAGTTTTCATATTTGCCTAATGAAAAAGGAAATGGAATCATCTGTATTTATAAGGCAAAGATTTTTTCAGTTCAAGTTTTACTTGTTGTTATTTAGACTTTAAAAAGCCTTGTTAATTTAAGACTCTACCCTGGTTATGGATGGCTAGGTACAATGTCACTCCACATAAGCCTTGCCATCATTTTCAAATATTACACTAACTTCGACTGAGATGTACATCAAGGTTTTACAAGCAACTCCTGACTGCACCTGAGTAAACTGCTTTCCTCTATCTAGGACCTCAGTTACCCAAGTTCCTTCCTTATGATCACCTAGGTTCTAATCCAAATTTACAAAACCTGAGAATATTTTGTATATTTAATTAGTGGCCCAGATGATTTTACTATGTGAGACAGCACACATCCAATTTGTTAAGTACTCTGCATCAGAGTGCTGAGTCTTGAAGTTCATCCCATCACACTGCATGTTTTCAAACTTTAGGATACACCTAAATCACCTGTAGTTGTTAAAATACTGATAACTCTTGTCCCATCACTAAACCTCATTCAGATTATCCAACTAGTACTATGCACACAAAGTGAATATCATTACTAATCAATGATTGTGTTTTTGAGTAGCTTCTGCTCAGATGAATAAAGATTTGCCCTTACACATTTTTTTTCTTACCATGACCAATAGTTTACATTTTCTAATAGTCTGAAAAGAATATTTGTGTCACTAGAAAACTAGTGACACAAAAATTAAGTCCTCAGTATTGACCATGAAGTAATCCAACCGATAGTGATCTGACCTAAGAAAACTCCACCTTCTATATTAAAATTCTATTTCTGTCACCTGTTTACCGTCATTTCGTCCAAAATCACGGCCTGGAAATTCGACCTTCCTATGACAATCTTAGCTAAAAATCTCAAAAAACTTAAAATTCTTTAGCAAAGATGCCTTGAGACTGTATTGCCAAAAATTAGCATCAGTAAGAGAAAATTTTAAAAACTCGATGTCTTGTATATATACAAAGATACAAACACACATAATCGTACATAAAGGATTGTGTTTCTTTGAGTCTCATACTTTTACCCCGTCCGTGTCTATCGAGAACACTTATTCTCTTAACCCTCCACTTTCCTATAAAGTTCTTTCTAATCACAGGTCATAAGGAAGAGAGATCAGAAGCTGTACTACATAGACTTCCACAGGTTGGCGGGGGGGGGGGGGGGTGTAGTTTAAAAGAGAATGGAGAAAATAGTCACAGACAAGTCTACAGATGGAGTATCTCATGTAAGTGCTATTTTCACCTCTAAACCCTGAATTTCAGAAGCTAAATTAGACCAAAATTGTGTTAGGTATCAATATCACAAAATCCTTCTCTCTAATCATAGTTCAAATATTTAACAACTCTTCAAAAGTGTGTTTAGTCTACAACTATTTACACCTGAAAATAACCCATGTGGCTGATGGGATTTCAGTTTAACCAGCCATACACAAACGTGAATACAGAAAATAATCAAATTCAGTACTACTTATATGCTCTGCTTTTAAAAGGAAAACGTCTTCCAGTACTGTAATAACCAGATACAACTTTGCACTTGCCTGTTGTTACTGTTTCCTTAAGGTCAAGGTGAACCCGCTGCATTTGTGCAAACTGGTGCAAAGCTGACACAGGATTTATCTCTCCACGTTTGTATTTCATTATGAACTCTTTAGGTATTTTTTTTGGAGGAAGGACAGGATTTGAAATAGATGAAAGACCTTTGGAAAGCAATGGCTCTGGATAATTACCTAAAAATAAATACTTAGAGTTGTCAGTTCAGTAAAATTAAAAAAAAAAAAATCAAAAGCACTAAATCTTTTTTTTTTTTTTTACTAAATCCTCTTCTAAAGTAGAAGATTATCCCTGATACATCTAGGTGTATGTGTTCATTACAAGTAAGTGTCTATTAAAAATTTTTGACACAGCTGAGGAGTGTAACCTGTTGATGCATAAACCTTTTTGGCGTACTAAAACCATTTTTGCAAATAAGTGCTATCATTGTCAAAGAATCACAGAATTTTAATAATGTCAAGGTCTTCAAAGCCTTGTTTTTTTTTTTTTTTTTATTGATGTCAAGGCTCTCAAAGCCTTTTTTTCCCCCCACACATTATGTCACTACGGCCTGGACTAAAGGCACAGACCCAGGACTAAGATCATTCTGTATCCTATTCACTATTTTACATCACTTTTCACGTTAAATTCAATTCAAGTTGTTAGTCCCTGCTTTGTAATTAGCTAAGCGATGCGTGTAATAGAAACCAGCGGAAGTCCTGTCCCTGCCCTGAAGGGGCTAACACAACCTCACCTCAAAAAGGCAAGACAGGGCAGCCGTGGTAGCTCACCGGTTTAGCGCCGCCTTCAGCCCAGGGCTCCCTGCATGGAGCCTGCTTCTCTTTCTGCCTCTCTTTCTCTGTCTCTCATGAATAAATAAATTTTAAAAAAATTAAAAAAAAAAAAAAAGGGCAAGACATGCTTGAAGCGGGTGAACAGTTAACAAAGAGTAACTGAGCCCCAAGAAGGGTTTCTACGGGCCTTTCACAGTGTCCAAACTGGAGTTCCAGATGGGAAACAGCCACTGGTACTGGTAGATGGGATATAGATCGAGGCAACATTTAAATTGGAAGCTCAAGAGTCCTCCTTGGCCATCCCAGAATCCTAAAATACTGAAGTAATAGTTACTGCAAACGAAAAAGTCGTACCCGTCACTTGCGTAACCTTGGAAGCCATATTCGACAGGCTGTGACTTTCTGAAGAATATCCTGTGGGCGTAGTTACCGTCTGGGCTGAGGGCTGAACTGGCAAGTTCTTCTTCAGCATCTGAGCGAAGCTAGGGACCCGGGAACTCTGAAACCAGTCGTTGTTGCCAGACATTTTCTCACCTACAAATTCGGCAGAACACACACACACAAAACAAAAACAAAAACAAAAAGAACTAGATAAAAATATTCCGAAATTAAAAATACAGATTCCCCTAAATGGCTTAAACACACACGACCTAAAACGAAATCTCTGTAACTGCTGTCATGACTGTTTTCTGACTAGCGTCTCCACAGGCACGGGGCTCGTCCCTCCTACGCACCTTCCAAAGCTCTGCTACAAAGGGTAAAGAAGGGTCAACGCGGTCGGCAGGGAGAGCCCCTACATCCACTCGGGAGGGGGGGTTCAGGGGAAAAAGAGGAAAAAACACAAAAACACGAGACCCTCAACGGCCCGCTTCCGAGCCCAACTCCCACCCACCAAAATTGGCCTTCCTGCCCTACAGGCGGGAGACCGAGCCGCAGCCCCGGGGCTCGCCGGCCCCAGCCGCCGACGCCGTTGCTTCCCCCTCCGGGCCTCAACCTCTGGCCTCAGGGCGCTCTGCGTGAGAGCCACGCGGCCGGGGCTGCGTCTTTCAAAAGCGGCCTCGCAGCGGCGACCCAGCACCACCCGGACCAACCCCCCCACGCCGGGCCTCAACCAATCACCAACCGTCTCTGCCGCGGCGCTTGTGTGCCTGAGCTCGCGCCAGCGCAGTGCGCCGAGGGCTAGGCCGGCCAGGCTCGGCGCGCCCTGCGTGCGTGCGTCCTGCGTCAACAAGCGGAGAGGCGCAGGACGTCAGGCGCGGGCGTTCGAGGCCCCGTGGGTGACGCCGGCCTCGTTCTGGGAACGTGGAGTTCCTCAGGCCCCGCGGCGCCTTCACTGCGGCGGAGGGTGAGGCCGTGCGGCGTGACCGGGTCAGTGTGGTACCGAGTGGCCCCCACACCTCCCCCCACCACTGTCCTCGCAGAGCCCTGTGTGGGCGTCTCCTCATCCACGACGCACGGAGGCCGGCCTGGGGGTCCCGGTGTGCGGGTGGTTTGAAGGAAACCTTGGGCTCCTTCCCTGGGGCTTCTCTTGAGAAGGCCCCGTGACAAGGCTGGGCCTCAACGTTGTCTTTAATTTTTAATTAAATTATTATTATTTTTTTTTTTCATGAGAGAGAGGCAGAGACGCAGGCAGAGGGAGAAGCAGGCTCCATGCAGGGAGCCCGACGTGGGATTCGATCCCGGGTCTCCAGGATCACACCGTAGGCCGAAGACAGGAGCTCAACCTCAACGTTGTCTTTAATGTTCACAGAAAAAAACCACCTTGGGCTCTTGCCGAAGTTAGACCTGTGGAGCCCAACAATGAACAACCCTGAAAACAGGTGGGGACGTTGAGAGCTAATGGCTGTGCAGGCTGTGATCAACCCCTTGTGGGTGTTTTCGGTTCTTTGCTCTCGTGAAAGTTGAAGGCGACTCTAATGGAGGCGTTAGCCGACAGGTGGTTAAATGCATATAATGGGCTTTCTAAATATATTGGAAAGTCTAAATAAATTGGTTTCCTAATTTATGCACATTATGATATTGTACACAAGATTCCGATATGTGCTAGTGATTTCAGTCTTGGCCCAGAACGCAGGAAGCTGATTTTACTAATTTTTTTTTTTTTTTAGTTTATTTATGATTGTCACAGAGAGAGAGAGAGAGAGAAAGAGAGAGAGGCAGACACACAGGCAGAGGGAGAAGCAGGCTCCATGCACCGGGAGCCCGACGTGGGACTCGATCCCGGGTCTCCAGGATCCCGCCCTGGGCCAAAGGCAGGCGCTAAACCGCTGCGCCACCCAGGGATCCCGGGAGCTGATTTTATTAAACTAACCCCAATTACTTATGGATGTGTAAAGGAATCACCTTATAGGGATTCAAGCCCTCCGTCTTCCTCAAGGACCACACTACACCTATGACTAATTCATTACTTTCTGGCTAATGCCTGGCTCAGTTTTTCTTTAGTAAATTACAGATCAGGTTTGGCTCCTAACCCAGAAGAAATTCAAGGAAGTGAGGAATAGCATTATAACAATCTATAAATGCTCCCCTGCTTTTTTTTTTTTTTTTTAAGATTTTATTTATTTTTTCATGAGAGAGAGAGAGGCAGAGGCACAGGTAGAGGGAACTCTATGCAGGGAGCCTGATGTGGGACTCAATCCCAGGACCCCAGGATCACCAACTGAACCCCCCCAGGTGTCCCGCCAGCATATTAATAAATATTTTGAGGGAGATAATTTGAGATTATGCAAATACCCTCTTTCACCGTGGAGTTTTACTAATTTTCATTAATCTGTAGATCTTGCTTGCAGCTGTTATTACTATGGTTTTTATTAAAAAATATGCTTTCGGGCAGCCCGGGTCGCCCAGCTGTTTAGCGCCGTCTTTAGCCCAGGGTCTGATCCTGGAGACCCCGGATTGGTCTGGCATCGGGCTCCCGGTATGGAGCCTGCTTCTCCCTCTGCCTGTGCCTCTGCCTCCCTCCCTCCCTCCCTCCCTCCCTCCCTCCCTCTCCTCTCTCTCTCATATGAATGAATGAATGGATAAAATAAAATGCTTTCTAAGTTAAATTTTATTGAGATGTGATTGACATAAGTTAGTTTCAGGTATACAGTGTGATGATTTGTTAACTATATAGTTACGCTCATCCCACAATTTTTTTCTTTTTTGTGATAACTTTTTTTTTTTAAGATTTTATTTATTCATGAGAGACGCACACACAGAGAGGCACAGATGCAAGCAGAGGGAGAAGCAGGCTCCACACAGGGAGCCAGACATGGGACTCCATCCTAGGTCTCCAGGATCACGCCCTGGGCTGAAGGCGGCCTGAAGCTGCTGAGCCACCTGGGCTGCTGGTAAAAACTTTTAAGGTATACTTTCTTAGCAACTTTTAAATACAAGCTTATTTCAGAGATATAGCAGGTCCAGTTCTAGACCACTGCAATAAAGTGAATGTCAAAGCAAGTCAAATGAATTTTTTGGTTTCCAGTGCATGTAAAAGTAATGTTCACACTGTACTACAGTCTATTAAGTGTGCAATAGCATTATGTCTAAAAACACAATGTACATCCCTTAATTTTAAAATACTTTGTTGCTTAAAAAAAAAAATACTACCAAGGAGTAGTAATCTTTTTGCCTTACTGCTGATGGCTGCTGACTGATGAGGATGGTGTTGCTGAAGGTTGGGTGGCTGTGGCAGTTTCTTTCAGGCAACAATAAAGTTCCTTGCATCAATTCTTTTCTTTTCACTAATGTTTCTGAAGCACAGAGTGCTGTTTTAAACCATTTTACTGACATCTTTCAAATTCGAAGTTAATCCTCCAAACCCTGCTGCTGGTTTATCAACTTAGTTTATATAATATTTTAAGCCTTTGTTGTCATTTCAACACTCTTTATAACATCTTCACCAAGTGTAGGTTCTTTCTCAAGAAAATCCTTTCCATGTTCATCCATAAGAAGCAACTCATCCATTCAAGTTTTATCAATGAGATCGCAACAAGTCAGTCACATCTTCAGGTCCACTTTTAATTAATTATAGTTCTTTTGTTATTTCCATCACACCTGCAGTTACTTCCTTCAAACTTCTGTTAATATTGATGTTTTGACCTTTTCCCATGAATCACGAATGTTCTTAATGGCATCTAGAATGGTGAATCCTTTCCAAAGGGTTTTCCCTTTATTTTGCCCAGATCTATCATAAGAATCCTATCTTTGGCAGCTCTAGCCTTATAAATGGATTTCTTAATAAGACTTGAAAGTTGAAGTTAATCTGGTCCATGAGCAGCAAAATGGATATTGTATTAACAAAAATAACATTAATTTTATTATATATCTCCATCAGAACTTTTGGGTGACCAAGTACATTGTCAATGAGCAGTGCTATTTTTGAAAGGATCATCTTTCTGAGCAGTAAGTATCAATAACAAGCTTAAAACATTCAGTAAACCATCTTATAAACAGATGTGTCATCCAGGCTTTGTTGTTCCATTGATAAAGCATAAGCAGAGTAACACCATCCTTAATGGCTCTAGGACTTTCAAAATGGCAAATGAGCATTGGCTTCAATTTAAAGTCACTAGCTGCAGTAGCCCCTAACAAGAGAGTCACCCTGATCTTTGAAGCTGTGAAGCCAGGCATTGACTTCTCTCTAGCCTGAAAGTCCTGGATGGCATCTTCTTCCAATAGATGGCTATTTCATTTACATTGAAGATCTGTTGTTTAGTGTAGCCATCTTCATTAATTGTCTTGGCTGGATTTTCTGGGTAACTTGATGCTGCTTCATCTTGTACTTTTATGTTATGAAAGTGGCTTCTTAAAGTTCATAAACCAACTTTGCTAGCTTCAAATTTTCTTCTGCATCTTCTTCCTGTCTCTCAGCCTTTTAGAATTGAGGAGAGTGAGAACCCTGCTCTGGATTAGGCTTTGGCTGAAGGGGATGTTGTGGCTGCTTTCATCTTCCATCCAGACCATTGAAGCTTTCTCTGTATCATCAATAGGCTGCTTTGCTTTCTTATCATTGGTATTCACTGGAGTAGCACTTTTTACTTCCTTCAAGAACTTTTCCTTAACATTCACAACTTGAATGTTTGGTGCCAGAGGCCTAGCTTTCAACCTGTCTTGGCTTTCAACATGCCTTCCTTACTAAGCTTAATCATTTCTGCCTTTTGATTTAAAGTGAGATACATACAACTCTGCCTTTTACTTGACCACTTAGAGGCCATTGCAGGATTATTAACTGGCCTGATTTCAAGATTGTTGAGACTCAAGGAATAAGGAGGCCTGAGGAGAGGGAAAGGGAGGAATGGCTGGTCAGTGGAATAATCACACAACATTTATCAACTAAGTCTATGTCATATGGGTGCAGTTTTTGGCACCCCAGAACAATTACAACAGTAACATCAAGTATCAGTGATTACAGATTACCATAACAAATACAATAATAATGAAAAAAGTTGAAATACTGTGAAAATTACCAAAATGGGACACAAAGACAGGAAGTGAGCAAATACTGTTGGAGAAATACATTAATAGATTTGCTCAACTCAGGGT